GATATATACTCTGCCCGAGGGATGACAGACACTCTGCCTGGGCAGATATATAATCTGCCCGGGGGATTACAGGCACTCTGCCTGGGCAGATATATACTCTGCCCGGGGGATGACAGACACTCTGCCTGGGCAGATATATACTCTGCCCGGGGAAGACAGACATTCTGCCTGGGCAGATATATACTCTGCCTGGGGGTTGACAGACACTCTGCCTGGGCAGATATATATACTCTGCACGAGGGATAACAGACACTCTGCCTGGGCAGATAGACACTGTCCAGGCAAAGTGTCTGTCTGGCCTCTGGCAGTTTTTATCTGCCTTAAATTAAACTAGAAAAGTTTCTGTATTTATACTGTAACTTAATGTAAAGTAATGTTTGATTGTAGGCAGACTTAACAGTTCAGGATTTAATTAATACAATTAATTCATTAATTATTCACTCACTGAATGCGACGGACAGATGTAGCACGGCGCTTACGAAGTCCCCAAACCTGAGCGTGCCGTCCTTACGCATGTAGCGCAGGATCAGGATGCTTACCACGGATGTGCTCAGCGCGAATCCTACATACAGGACAACATACGGGACTGTTATCGAATAAAATTATGTACAGTCCAGTTTAAAATTACTTACGTTGGAAAGTTCTAAGTTATATATCAAGTTCATGCTGTGAATCATATTGTATAATGGTAAATTGTCTACTAATCATCAAGTAAAATTGGTGCTAATTAATCTTAATTTCACATTTAAATTACTGTATTTAATAAATGTGTACTGGTATGCTATGAACCAATCGACGAGAGTAGCAATAAAGCATTGAGCCTACGCACTAAAATATATAAATAATTACTATTATATAATGTTGTTTTTCCCTTAAAATCCTAACTGTTCTTGCCAATTTTAATAAAGAAACTGTCTTCACTAAATGTTGCCAACGAATGATTAATATGGCACGTTAAGTTTCCCTATACAATTCATATTTATCATTCATAGGACCTGCGGTAAAAATGCAACAGAGCCCGCATCAAACTTTAATGGTACGTACATGGAGTACCGATTTACTTATAAACGGCATCATTTTCTCTACAACTTTAAGCTAAAATAATGTGAGTTTTTGCTATTTTGCTTGTTAAAAATATTAAAATCAATATATTAAATAAAATATAAATCATCAATATACAATATCAACTCATTATAACATCAATACCAAAGGCTACATCAGTTGCATCCACCTGCATCGATGAGGGCGTCTCTAAGGCGTTCCGCCTTAAGGATACCAGAGCGCTCCTTGGTATGACTCCTAAAGACGGCTTGCCAGGCCTTAAGGCTCACAAGAAGCTCCTTGAAGTTACTGAAGCTAAGGCGGCCTGTGCCTGTGGTCTGCAGTGCTGGTCAGGAAAATTATCTTGGATGTACATTGTAAAACCTAAATATGTAAATATAAATACATATAAAGGAGTTTCATCAATATAATGGGACGGAGTTTTACATTACACTTGTAAACAGGACAACTATAAAACAGGAGGAAAAAAGGTTGGATATAAAACCTTCACGAGATGAAATATTTGTAATGAACGAAGGGAAATAATGCAAAGAAATAGCATTTTCTCAAATTGATCAATAGCTGGAAAACTTTGGTATGTAAATGCTTGCACTATGAAACTGAATCAAGGATTACAAGATTATAAATTTTGAGTATGAGTTATAGCAGTTATCAACTTATTATATAACAAGAAAAGTCTATTTAGGGTTTGCTACTTAAATGAGACGGTTTTAGAGATTATAGGACTGAGAATTTTAAATATAAGTTCCATCTAAAATTACACGAGTATAAGCTAAGAACAATAATAGTTGCAGATAATAAAAATTACATTACATATAAAAGAATAATATTAACTATTTAATTTATTATCTTAGAACAACTGAGAAATCTCTGTCAAAAATAGTGTGAAATAAATTTACAGAACTAAAAACAAAGAAAGATGCGGAAATAAACCCTTATCAAGAGCATCAGGTTTAGAAGTAACGTTCAACGTCATAAATCTATCAATTGTTAACGATAACTGCACGGCCTTGGCAGACAGGAAGATAAATTTTCTAAATTTCTCTTTGCTACGCCACGGATGATAATAATGCGCATATATAAATTTCATATAGAAGTATCTCGCTAGGAAAAGTGAATATGTTCACTACAAAAAAATTGTGTAAATTTCTGCACATTAAATTTTTCATCCCATAGGCGACTCTCCTTCCAATCACAGATCCAGACTCTACGAGTCCTGACATTATAAAAAATGGTGAATTTTCAACGCAATAACAATAGTAAAAATAATATTAATTTTATAATAAGGAAGTTGTAAAGGATACGTCCATGGTTAAGATGATCTGTCGGCAGATGTCCAGACTAGCGCAGCTCTTGATGTAATCTGAAAAGAAATATAACACTTCGGTTCAACGCACGATAAACTGTAAAATCTTTTTGAATTTAGAAGTGAACACTTATCAAAGTATTCGAGAATAATGGAAAAATCTTGCTCATGAGCAGAAAATTTTTTGATGACTGTAATATATTCCGACAACTCAGTATATATACATCGAACATCGCCAGACTCACCATCAGAACACTGGCAGACTCACTATTAGGACACCATCCGACTCTCCATTAGAACACCATTCGTTTCATCATACACCATTCGTTTCATCATTGAAAATGTTCGCCTCACCATTACAAGTGTCCGCCTCACCATTACAAGTGTCCGCCTCACCATTACAAGTGTCCGCCTCACCATTACAAGTATCCGCCTCTCCATTACAAGTGTCCGCCTCACCATTACAAGTGTCCGCCTCACCATTACAAGTGTCCGCCTCACCATTACAAGTGTCCGCCTCACCATTTGAAGTGTCCGCCTCACCATTTCAAGTGTCCGCCTCACCATTGCAAGTGTCCGCCTCACCATTACAAGTGTCCGCCTCACCATTTCAAGTGTCCGCCACAAGTGTCCGCCTCACCATTACAAGTGTCCGCCTCACCATCACAAGTGTCCGCCTCTCCATTACAAGTGTCCGCCCCACCATTACAACACTCACCATTACAAGTACCCCCCTTACCATTACAAGACTCACCATTAGGTAAGCAGGCCTCCAGCAGTTCATGGAGCTGGAAGGCGTTCACTGTTCTGTGTTCATCAGCGACCTGCAGGAACACTGCCTGGTACTGTAGGATACTCTTGCTCTCCAGCGCACTGCGGGACTGTGTCACCGCAGGCTTCACCAGGCTCGGGGTCGTGTCTACTAACCTGCGCACATATATAATAATAATTTACTAATAATATAATAATTTAATAATAAATTTAAGTCTTGGCATAATTAGTTTGCTCAATTACTGCGACGTAGGAAGTAGTAACGTGCAAACGAAATTCTTGTTGTGTCCAATAAACCAGTACACTAAAATTTTTGAACTTACGTAAGAACTAATCTCATGTATTGAGAATACAACTCGAAAATTTAGGAAAAAAATATATTTTCAAAGTCCTGACGAATCTTAACGATAACAGGAGACATGATCCTAAAGAAAATAGGGAATGAGAATTATTCTCGCCGGTCCACAATCTATCACATTTTATTCTCGACGGTTCAATGCAGGAAAGAACAATTTCTGTAGACTTAACAATCTTTGTCTTTTCAGGTTCATTCGTAGTTAATTTTGTTTTATTCTGATCGAAATTTCGTTTTATTAGTTTTTGAGGTTCATTAAAAAAAATGAATTCTTTATTGTCGATTAAAAGAATACTTAAATATTAAACCGTATCTCACTTGACATTCAGAGTACACCTTTAAAGCGTTGTACAAATAATGAGATATGAACAGTTAATAACATATAACATACATTAAAACAATATTTAAGCATAATATCTGACGTGAGTTTAATAGGTTTGGATGAGTAGACCTTTAAAGCGTTGTACAAATAATGAGATATGACCTTTATATACATATATGAACTATATGTAACTTAAAACAAATTAAGAGAATAATCAAGCATAATATCTGACTTGAGTTTAATAGGTTTAGAAGAGTAGACGCGTAATGTGAAGGCGGCCTCCTCGCCGGCCTCGAAGGTGGTGGGCAGCAGCACGTAGCTGCCTTGCTCCAGCTGCACGCGCTCGCTTACCTGGTCCGGTGAATGTGGATCAAGACCATCAGTAAAACTTAGTAATGATCCATCAAAATCCAGTCTACCAATGATCCAACTAGGACCAGGTCTACCAATAATCTTCCTAAAACCTAGTAATAATCAAAGTAAAACCCAGTCCATCAATGATCCTCTTGAAACCTAGTAAAGATCTTTTTAAAACCCAGTCACCAATGACCCTCTTAAAACTTAGTAATGATCCTTTTAAAACCCAGTCCATCAATTATCGATATATAGAATCTGCAAGTAAACTATATACAAAAAGGAGTATCCGTATGTAAACCATATACAAATAAGGTATCGGTAATTAAACTGTATGCAAATAAACTATATACTAACTATATAATCTATATATTTTTCCAAAGAACATCGTGGAGGATTAATCAAGGAGGTGCTTGCCTGCGTTGCCAGCGAAAATTTAAAATTATTGTAATAAAATAAGCCCAAAAGTTATTGGCCTATGCAGTCAATACGATAACAAAATTGAGAAGCGATGCGTTACGCCGTTTTTCGTTGAAAATTCTTGAGAAACTAATAACAAAATGTTCCATTTTCCTTTTTTCCATTTCGTGGAAGTTGCATTACTGAGCGAGACCTACATGGCCGCAGTCGAGTGGCATGTAATTTAAAAGCAATTAAAATAAGGGGAAAACCTTAGCGAGAAATTGATTATTGACACAAGTTCAGTGTAAATCCAATAAGAGAAATTACAGAATTTTTTATATTAATTAAATTAACTGAAGCTAAGCAATGATATTACTTAGATTAAAAATTAGATAATATCTAATTACATGAATATTAAATCCAATTATCAAATATTAAATATAATATATAAGGATTGGTTAGTTTGTACTGGTCGCACCTGTCGGCTGTTGCTGTACTGGGAGTTGACGAGCGACTTGTTCTTCTTAAAAAAACTTCTGTTGATGCAATCAACTCCGCCCTTAGGCACCGGGTACCCTGTGAACCCGATATGTCCGCCTCACTATTACAAGTGTCCGCCTCTCCATTACAAGTGTCCGCCTCACTATTACAAGTGTCCGCCTCGCCATTACAAGTGTCCGCCTCTCCATTACAAATGTCCGCCTCACTATTACAAGTGTCCGCCTCGCCATTACAAGTCTCACCATTCGGTAAGCATGCCTCTAGCAGTTGATGCAGCTGGAAGGCGTTCACTGTTCTGAGTTCATCAGCGACCTGCAGGAACACTGCCTGGTACTGTAGGAACCTGCAGGAACACTGCCTGGTACTGTAGGAACCTGCAGGAACACTGCCTGGTACTGTAGGAACCTGCGGGAACACTGCCTGGTACTGTAGGAACCTGCAGGAACACTGTCTGGTACTGTAGGAACCTGCAGGAACACTACCTGGTACTGTAGGAACCTGCAGGAACACTGCCTGGTACTGTAGGAACCTGCAGGAACACTGCCTGGTACTGTAGGAACCTGCAGGAACACTGCCTGGTACTGTAGGATACTCTTGCTCTCCAGCGCACCGCGTGGTTGTGTCACGGCAGACTACTTCACCAGACTCGGTGTCGTGTCTACTAACCTGCGCAAGAATATAATAATAATTTACTTAAACATTAACATTATTAACTTGTTCAATTATTGCGACGTAGGAAGTAGTAGTATGCAAACGAAATTCTTGTTGTGCCCAATAACCAGTACACTACAATTTATGAGCTTACGTAAGAACTAATCTCGGGTATTGAGAATACAATTAGAAAATTAAAAAATAATAATAATAAAATAAATATTTCGAAGTCCTGACGAATCTTGACGATAACTGGGAGACATTATCCAGAACAAAATTGTGAATGAGAATTATTCTCGTTGGTCCACAATCACAAGTGCTGCAAAACAAAACTGCTGTTGACTATACCGTCTTCGACTTTAAGGTTCATTCGTTGTTTATTTTGTCTTATTCTAATCCTAGCTTCGTTTTAATCGGCTTTGAGCTTCATTGTAAAAAAATGACGTCCTTATTGGACATTAAGACAATATTTAGGTACAATATCTATTTAGTCTTTAATCGCTTTAGACGATTACACATTCAGAGCGTTGTACAAATAATGAGATATGAGCTGTTAATTATATAAATTAGGACGATATTTTAAGATGAATACCTCATTTGAGTTTTGAAGTACACCTTCAAACGTTGTACAAATAACGAGATACTAACTAATAATTACATATAATAAGACAATATTTAAGCATAATATCTGACTTGAGTTTAATGGGTTTGTGATGTGAAGGCGGCCTCCTCGCCGGCGTCGAAGGTGGTGACAGCAGCACGTAGCTGCCTTGCTCCAGCTGCACGCGCTCGCTCACCTGCCCCGGGTAAACTTAGATGAAAACCATGAGTAGAACATTGTAATGATCTAATTAAAACCCAGTCCACTAATGATCCAATTAAAATCCAGTCCACTAATGATCTAATTAAAATCCAGTCCACTAATGATCTAACTAAAACCCACTCCACCAATGATTCGCTTAAAACACAGTCTACCAATGATCCAATTAAAACCAAGTCCACCAATGGTCGGTATTAATTATTTGTAGGTAAACTATATACAAATAAAGTATCCGTAAGTAAACTATGTACAAATAAAGTATCCGTAAGTAAACTATATAAAAATAAGGTATCCGTAAGTAAACTATGTACAAATAAAGTATCCATAAGTAAACTATGTACAAATAAAGTATCCGTAAGTAAACTATGCACAAATAAAGTATCCGTAAGTAAACTATGTACAAATAAATTGAGAGGCGATGCGGTACGTTGTATTTTTGTTGAAAATTCTTGCGAAACTGAGAACAAAATGTTCCATTTTCCTATTTTCCTTTTCGTGGCAGTTGCATCACTAAGCCGCAGTCGATTGGAATTAAAGTTAAAAGCATTTACATTAAAGTGAAGAAAACTTATAATGAAATTGATTATTGACACAATTTTAGTGTAAATCCAATAAGAGAAAATACGGGATCTTGTTATATTAGTTAAATTAACTAAAGCTAAGCGATGATATTGCTAAACGCAGAAAATTTTATTAAAACTAATCATATGAATAGTAAATAGGCTTTTTAAGTATAAAGATTGGTTAGTTTATACTGATCGCACCTGTCGGCTGTTGCTGTACTGGGAGTTAACGAGCGACTTGTTTGTTCTTCTTAAAAAACTTTCGGTTGATGCAATCAACTCCGCCCTAAGGCACCGGGTAGACTGTGAACCAGATGACCTGCATGCAAAATAATAATACTTGTAAGATATTAATATGCAGAATGATAATATAATAATAATATGATAATATATAATATTATATACAAGTTTGATTGAAGACCAGAGCATGCTTTTTATTTACAATCTTCTTGTTCGTCTTTTCAATGAGATCAATCAATCGCATTGAAATCAATGAGATTGATTGATCTCATTCAATGTTCGTCAAAGTGGATGAACGAGTCCTCAATCAATTATCCATGAAAATGTCAAGAGCACAACGGATAACGAAAATATAAAACTTCTGATCTACTACAAAAATAAGAAAATTAAAAACCTAGTAATGAATAACAATCCCTGTGAAAAAACTGGTCTGCTTCAAGAAACTAATGTGGTTTATAAATTCTCCTATAATAAAGAAGGTTGTAGACTTCTTCCAAACATGAACTACATTGGACTTACAAGTACGACCTTGAGCCGACGACTCACATGCCACCTACAATCTGGAGGACCTAAGAACCACATGCGGGAGGCTCACAATGAGACCATCACCCGAGCGACATTGGAAGCCTGCACCAGAATGTACTTCTGTCATTTCAAATTCAATTTCAGATGTTGTAAAACCTTCACCAGCTTGATAATGAAAATTGTATTTTCGAAACGTCGCAATCTATTAAAATGTCATTCGGAAACCTGCTTTTCGATCTCCCGACGCCAGCAAGAAATTTGGTTCGACTCACTGAAAAGACGAACAAGAAGATTGTAAATAAAAAGCATGCTCTGGTCTTCAATCAAACTTGCATAAAAGAGAAGCTTCTGCCGAACTACACCAATATTATATACGCACAGAAATGAGATAGACTTTGTCTGGATATCAGTGCGTCCATTTTTTCTCCGCAAGTGTGTCATCATGACCCAGTTTACCCGATATAAACTAGGGGGTAACAGTGCTACATCCGCTCTCTGCTCGAGTTGTAGGTTAGACAGTGTGCCAATTTTTGGATAACATGATCCATTCGTTTTTCTCCGTGTAGGTATACCACAACGTAAGGGGATGCATTATATTTGAGCCTTCATGCTGAAACGTGACTAGGTTATCAATCACTAATCAATCATGTCACACTAATCGATCATGTCACACTAATCAATCATGTCACACTGATCAATAATGTCACACTAATCAATCATGTCACACTGATCAATAATGTCACACTGATCAATAATGTCACACTAATCAATCATGTCACACTAATCAATCATGTCACACTAATCAATCATGTCACAATAATCAATCATGTCACACTAATCAATCATGTCACAATAATCAATCATGTCACACTAATCGATCATGTCACACTAAACAATAATGTCATAATAATCAACAATGTCACACTAAACAATCATGTCACACTAAACAATCATGTCACAATAAACAATCATGTGACGCTAATCAGTCGTGTCACACTAAACAATCATGTAGACAATCATGTGACGCTAATCAATCATGTCACACTATACAATCATGTCACTAATCACCTTAGGTTCGATCACGGCATGCTGGTTCAGAGAGACCACCACCTCTTCCATGGCGCTGAGCAGCAGGTGCAGCTGAGGGTTGATGTGGAATGTGTCTGGAACATAATAACTTCTTCAATTTAGGGACCTTGTAATTCAGTTGTTCAATTTAATTACTTTCGAATGTTTTTCAGACATATTCCGATTCGTGATATAGGATTATTAGTAATAATTTTAATAACTTACATTTTATGTACATTGAAAGTTTTGTTTCGAAAGAGATACAATTTTGGATTTTTAGCCCCTTGTTACAGGAATGGATTATCCAAAAAATATTTGAACGACTATCAAAATCAAACTAGCTCTCGATCGAAAGAAAATTTGCATCGTTGGATTCTTGACATCCAATAAGTATAGACTATCAACCACAAAATCAATGTCAGTACAAAAATAGCACCAAATTTACGCTCATCTCCAAATTAAAAAAAGATACCCCCGAGAAAAAAAAAACTAGGAGCTGCCTAATTTATTACATACCTTGACGCAAATTCAGCCGAAAGCGAGTTCGAATAAATTCATCTGACTTCACAGATAACTCTCATGCTTTAAGCATTTCTGAAATAATTACACATTAAAAACAGAAAAAGTAATAAGTCGTTAAGAAATAACATTTCTAACATACCGCGATAAACACAGAAAGAAATAGTGGGAAACTACTTTGCAATTGTCAAGCTTTTCAGCATTCCATCAGAGTGACAAACTGAGAACATTTCTGGTTCAGGAGACCGGTGCCTCGTCTATTGAAGTGACGTGCGCGACGTACGAGCTGCACAGTTTTGCTTGCTTGTCTCGTCTTGAATTATTCCTGAGCAGTTGCCTGTTCATAATTTTCTACGTGTCAAAACATTCTTCTTCGAAAATATTCTTCTTCGAAAACATTTTTCTTCAAAAACATTCTTCTTTGAAAACATTCTTCTTCGACAACACATATGACGTACAACATGGCTTACAACACATGACACACAACATGGCTTACAACACATGACACACAACATGGCCTACAACACATGACACACAACATGGCTTACAAAAATTCAGTTCTTTAAGTCAATTACTTTCGAAAGTTTTTGTTTTTAGACATATTCGTGACATAGGATAATTAGTTATAATTTTAATACCGTACATTTTTAATACCTTGAAAATTTTATTTCAAATGAGATACAATTTTAAAGATTTTTAGTCTCTTTTTACAGGAACGGATTATTAAAAAATATTTGAAAGACTAAAAAAATCCAACAAGCTGTCGGCCAAAAAATTTTTGGTTACATGACATCAATTAAATAAACTATCAACCGCAAATCAATATCATTAAAAAAATAGCACCAAATTGCCCCTCATCTCCAAATTAAAAAGAAAAACACCAAAGATAAATCATAAAACTAGGAACTGTCTAATTTATTACATAACCTGAAGCAATTTAGCCGTAGGCGAGTTTGACGAAATTCATCAGACTTGTACATCACAGATAACTGTCATATTTTAAGCATTTCAGAACTAATAACATTACAAGAAAGAAAAATAGTAAATCCTCGAGCAATAACATTTCTATCATACCGCGATGAACACAGAAAAAAAAGTGGGAAACTACTTTGCAATTGTCAAGCTTTTTAGCATTCCATCAAAGAGGCAAACTGATGAAAAAATTTCTTCGAAAACATAATTATCCGAAAACATTCTTCTTCAAAAACATTATTCCTCGAAAACACTATTCTTCGAAAACATTCTTCTTCGACAAAATTCTTCCTCGAAAACATTCTTCGAAAACATTCTTCTTCAAAAACATTATTCCTCGAAAACACTCTTACTCGAAAACATTCTTCTTCGACAATATTATTCTTCGAAAACATTCTTTTTCGAAAACATTCTTTTTCGAAAACATTCTTCTTCGAAAACATTATTCTTTGAAAACATTCTTCTTCGACAATATTATTCTTCGAAAACATTCTTTTTCGAAAACATTCTTATTCGAAAACATTATTCTTCGTAAACATTCTACTTCGAAAACATTATTCTTCGAAAACATTCTTTTTCGAAAACATTATTCTTTGAAAACATTCTTCTTCGACAATATTATTCTTCGAAAACATTCTTTTTCGAAAACATTCTTTTTCGAAAACATTCTTTTTCGAAAACATTCTTTTTCGAAAACATTATTCTTCGAAAACACTAGTAGATGAACTGCAGATCAAGATGGCATGTTGGCAGACGGANCCCCTCAGCCAGCTGCCCTGGTACACTCGCCTGTGTTGTTGCGGCACCCGCCTGCCGACACACCCCTCAGCCAGCTGGTACACTTGCCTGTGTTGTTGCGGCACCCGCCTGCCGACACACCCCTCAGCCAGCTGCCCTGGTACACGCGGGCGGTCCACGGCAGGTGGCACCGCAAAGATGGTTCATCGCGCGCAGTTTCGCTGTCCAGGTGAACCACCTCGAGCTGTGTGAACGTGCGCACCATGTCGCTGTACGACATCCTGGACAGTGCGTAATTATAATAAAGGTTAGGTTAAATGATAAAATAAAATATTAGATTATAATAATAAAATTAAATATTAGATTATATTTAGAACTACCTATAATAGTATTATTATTATAATACTAGTTATATTGTGGATACGTAACGGTATATTACATTACATTTAGAACTATAATAGTATTATATATTGTGGTTGCGTAACGGTATATTACATTATATTTAGAACAATAATAGTATTATTATTATAATACTAGTTATAATGTTATATTGTGGGCGCATAACGGTATATTACATTACATTTAGAACTATAATAGTATTATATATTGTGGGTGCATAACGGTATATTACATTACATTTAGAACAATAATGGTATTATTAGTATAATACTAGTTATATTGTGGGAGCGTAACGGTATATTACATTATATTTAGAACAATAATGGTATTATTATTATAATACTAGTTATATTGTGGGAGCGTAACGATATATTACATTATATTTAGAACAATAATAGTATTATAATTATAATACTAGTTATAATGTTATATTGTGGGTGCATAACGGTATATTACATTACATTTAGAACAATAATGGTATTATTATTATAATACTAGTTATATTGTGGGAGCGTAACGGTATATTACATTCCATTTAGAATGATAATAGCATTATTATTGTAATACTAGTTACATTGTAGGTGCGTAAGGGTATATTACATTTAGTACAAGAGTGCTAGTTATATTGTGGCCTATGCGTTGTATGTTCGTTTGCAGTATATGATACATAAGGTTATGTTATACACATGAGTTACCATGACTACGTCATCATGAATTGTGGACAGTAATAAAATTTCATAAAATTGAGAGACAACAAATTTTTATTTTGCTATAAATTAACTTATTTAAATTCATATTATACTATAAATTAAATTATTTTAATATCAGATTATACAGATTACATTTAATTAACATTTTCATCAAGAAAATTATGACCAAAATCAATTGATCAGAATCAAATAGACGAATAACAGAATATTGTACTTACCAAAATTCGCCGTCTACCATGTGCTTGAGCCCCAGCCTGTCCCTCTCCTGGGGGGACACCTCATCCCACTCGGGGGCGTCCCTTGTCCCCCAGGCCCCCAGGTAGTCCACGCAAGACCCCAGCGGGGACCTCAGCTTCACCAACGTCACCTCCGCGCCTCCGTACAGCTCGATCTTAAATACAGTTTAGTATTTTAATTTAATTGGATTATTATTATCTTGAATACATTCTATTATATAGATTTTTTTGGATCAATATTGGTATTATAAATTATATTATTAATAATGCAATATTTATTTCATTGGGTTATTATTACTATATTATTATAATATTATTATAATAATAATCCAATATTGATTTCATTGGATTATTATTGTTATTATAATATTATATATTATGTCAATTTTATGAAGGACCCCGGTCTTAAAATTATAGGCGGACTATCAGAGGCCAGTTAACAACCAGAATTTTAGATGGTTGTTGAAAAAATATATTCACCTTAAAAATATTCACCTTCATTTTTAAGGCAGTTGAATATTTATAATAGCTCGCTTGTTTAAAATTCCAAATTTGAATTTCGATTTTGATTTCAATAACGAAATGGCTTCTAGAGTGAGACTTTTTCGAAGTTACACCGAAGTATCTATATCACAGCCAAACTACATATATCTATATTTATCTATAATTAAAATACTATTACTATGACATAATTCATAATTAATGTGCTCACAAATGTCAGAAAAAGAGTACCTCAGTACTCACTGCAGTGAGTGACAGCGAGCGCATTTTCTCGTCGACGAAAACGTGAAGTCACGGACGGACAGACGGACGGACATGGCGAGCACAATAGTAACTTTTTTCCATAAATGAGAAATTGCGCTAAAAATGATGACAATCTAAACATCAACACCGAAGTAGCTTTTCCACAGCCACATATAATGATACTGTTTAACTATAAATAAACTAGTATTGAATACATGAATCATAATGTGCTCATAAATATCAGATAAAATGATGACAATCTAAACATCAGCACCACAAACTCTCACCTTTTCAACAGCATATATCCTGTAGTTGATACCGATCACGATCCCTGTCGCGAGCTTGTCCATGTGACTGCCTCCTCCACTACCTCGTCCTGATGAAGTAGATGACGATGATGAACCTGACGATGTTGAGGACAAGTTCTTGTGCTGTGGGGCCAAGACTACGACCGTGACGATAGACGTGACGTGTAGCAGCTTCGTCAGAAGTCGGCTGCAAGATGTGGGGTCTGAACGAAGAGATACGGTCTCTGAAATCCCGCCTGTCAGGTCTGATAGACCATCCAGAGTACTGCCGTACTTCAGAGCTTCGTAGGAGCCGTGCAATCTAAGGGAATGAAAAGACCCAATATAAATATGCAACTATTCCTTGCAACGTAAAGTCGTAACGGAAAAATTACAACGTAATTCTTTGTAACAGGGATATATGCTACAAAATTTTAACGACTTCCACAAAATTAACCACTTCCAGAAAATCAACAACTTCCACAAAGTTCGACACAGACACAAAATATACAAATTTCGAAACATACAAAATTTGAAAAATACACTTAGTTCAAAAAATCCACAATTTAAGAACTTCAACATAAATCAACCACTTTAAATTCTTTGTAGCAAGGATTTATCCTACAAAATTTTAACCACTTCCACAAAACTATATCGACTGTCATGGTGACGTATGATTCAAAACGCTAAAAAATTCAAAACTTGTCGCCACTTTGCAGAACATGCAACAATTCATCGCCTTTTTATGCTCACTAAGATATGTATGTTTTCCTGACCACTATGAACAAATGAACTTATCAATATATTCGATGGCCACAACCTGATCAATGTAGCGGGTTTTAGCTAGTTTTACTAGGAAACTAATTGTTCGCAATCATTGGGGTCGATTTGGAACTTCCAAGTTCAAATTGGACACCTAGGCTGTGGTTAATCATGTTCCAATGTTCATTTTTTTCAATGCGTTCAGTTGGTACCAACCGTTGATGCGTTCATCTCAACACACCTCAAACTTCTTCAATGATAACCCCCTTGCAAATATGTTGAAACAAAATTGATTACGACTTGATTTCGTAAAACAACGGCGATTAAGAATTTATGTCGTAAACACAACATTAAATCAAGGTTATGAAAAGTTCTCACTTGGCATAAGCCTTCTCTAGCAGAGCGGGCCAGAACTGTGTCGAGGACTGCGAGTGTAGGAACATGAGTTTGTTGTTGACGGTGGGTAGGCGGTCGTCTACTACCACCTCCCGCCACTCTCCACACCACCACACGCGGAACCTGAACAATTTTTAAATAAATAATTATTTATACGATACATTATATAAGACAGAAGTATTGCATTTGAAATTAATCATCTCCAGACACTCACTGCAGCTCACCCGAACGCGGAATCTGAATAATTTAAATGTCTTCATACCGTGGCGTCACTAGGCCTATTTTCGGGGGGTTTTAACCCCTCTAACATATTCTCAAGTCCACTTTAAATATTTATTTAACTATACTTTTAACCAAAAAATGCTGTAAATTCAGTATCATATGGCCTGAATATAAATTGAAATTAATGACAATACAATTATTATTACGCAACTCATTATTATTATTAAATTATTAAATCATTATGAACTTGAATGTGATCATAAATCTTAGAAGGATTAGCCTAAGCCTGTCCGTAACATCTAGTGGGGCCTCTGTCTTCATACATTTAATGGCCGAAATCTACACATATTTCTCTAGAACAAATGCGAAATAACGAAACCAAATTTAGGATTGTTTAATTATACAGGAATAGACTAGATGAACAGACTAGATGAAGGTTTGCAGGAGTATAGAAGAAGTGCCTCCTACCTTACAAATTGGTGCATGTCAGCAGCTACTTAGCTTCAACATCAGTTTGGATAGATTTGGTCAAAAGGCAAGTCCTCAAATCTCCAAGCGACAACTCAACAGCATTATTAGAACCGGCGACAAGCCAATTTAGCCGATTCATCAACGCTGATTCTGATGTGTTATGTTGTTACGATATGTTATGTTGTTACGATGATATGTTATGTCGTTACGATGAAGTGTTATGTTGTTACGATGATATGTTATGTTGTTACGATGATGTGTTATGTTGTTACGATGATATGTTATGTTGTTACGATGATGTGTTATGTTGTTACGATGATGTGTTATATTCTTACGATATGTTATATTGTTACCGATGATATGCTATGTTGTTACGAATATATATTATATTATTACCGATGATATGTTATGTTGTTACTGATTATGTATTATATAATTACCGATACTATGTTATATTGTTACCGATGATATGTTATGTTGTTACCGATTATATATTATATTATTACCGATGCTTTGTTATATTGTTACGATAATATGTTATCTTGTTAGTGAATATATATTATATTATTACCGATGATACGATGTTATTACGGTGATATATTATGTTGTTACCGATTATATATTATATTATTACCGATGAGATGTTATGTTGTTACCGATGATATGTTATGTTGTTACGATGATATGATATGTTATTACGGACATTGGCAGGACGCCAATAAATCACCTGAAGGCTCCGCAGTAGCCGCTCTTGTTACTGAAGGCTTGGTCTGCAGGCACCACACGGTAGAATAGACCCTTGGCCAGCTGCAGACAGCCCAGGCACGAGACCAGCCACCGGTCTCCTGTTCATTGTAAACACCTCGTTGGAATACTATAGAATTATTTGTCAAAATATAATTTAGATTTCGATGGCTATATGAAGATATTTGTCGAAAGCTTTCTTCACCAACGACAGACGTCAGTAGAGTTAACGGAATCTAGGATTTTTTCGGCCTTATCCCTGAAAATGTCCTTCTATATTCATCCTTAATCCCACTATTTGAACACATATAGAAGAATTTTATCTTCAATATGATTATGACTCAAGATAGAAGAGCAACTTCTGAACAGAATATTACAAACGCTTACCCAGCTTCCCAGGAGTGAGGTCGAACTGCGTGTGTTCATCCCTGATGAACGTTGGGTTCTGAACCAGGTCCTGTAGCACGAAACAAAAATGTTTTCAACAAGTTATTGAATATATAGTCAGGGGTAACAAATTTGTTGAACCCTGAAAGTGAATAAATAATTGGATGACTTCTTTCAATAAAAACACGCTCAATTCTGTAATTAAGCGGACAATTTCATCGACTAAACATAATAAACCTTGATCTTTTCTGCAACTATACACATTAATGTCAATAATTATTATTTATCAACTCGACAAATATATGTATTGCATTAAGTAAATCCAGCAATCTCGATCAGCTGTACAAATATACACATTGCGGCCACCCAGTCAAACCAATTTAGATCAACGTGACTAATCCAATAAATCCAATTACTCTTAATTCACCCGACAAAAATGGCTGAAACCACAAAATAGTTCTCAATTATAAAATTTTTCTGGTATTTCAAGATGCTTCTCAATTAAAAACGATTATTGGTCTCCGGGTGATAATATATTCTGGTGACATTTCTTCTCTGTGTGATGAATACTTTTTCTAGTTAGTGTTTATTTATGTATGTGTGCGTATGTTTGCTTGTTGAATTTGGCTGTTCTTATCATGCGGTCAACAACTTTGACGATTACGGTTAATTTTGTTAAGTTATCAGTTAAGTAGAATGCCCTATTGGCGGTCACTAAAAAAATCTGTGGAACAAAATCCTATAATTTGCAGAAATAAATCCACTAATTTGTCAGAGCGCATAATTTGTTTAATATTCAAAGTAATAAGTAAATTTGGCAAAGGTGCTGACCGGGACATAAAAGCTTTATAGATTTGCTATGGATTTAAAAAATAAGATGATTGCATGAAAATCTACAAAGCTTTTATAAAAGAGAACGTTTCGAAGTCCAGCTCAATTGTGAGTTTGACAATCATAGCAAGTAAGTACAATCAGTTGAAAGTTAAAAAAATTTACATTACAACCTAAAAATTACAAATAAGAGACACATTAATAATAATATGAATTTGCTCACCGAGCTGTACAATATTTCTAGGGCCGATAAAAGTGTTCATTAAAATCGTAAAAATCCCAAAGATGGAGAAAGCTCTGACAGTCACGTTTTTTCCATTTCATGCCTCATATATACCATAAATCTTGTGAACTCTAAACGAAGCCAATTTAATGCTTCATAAAATACTGTATTTTATTTGTTCAAGGAGATATCTTTGGAAATAAAAGCTTTACATTAAGGGTACTTGTAAACTAAATGCAATGATCAACAATCGAACCCAAATAATAGTTAGTTGCAGAAATGGCAACTACGTAGAGAATTGTAATAATTAAAAACACTTAAGTTCAATGTCACAAACTTCAATTTCGTAGAATTCTACTCTACAAAATTCAGTGCTATAAAATTGAAAGCTCTTATATTTAACGCTTGATAAATTATTGAAGTAGAATTCAACGCTTCACAATTTGTTCGAGTGGAATTAAATAATGCAGTATTACTTGCAGCACAATTGACGTGTGTAAATTAAAGTCTTTAAAAGGGATTAATTCGAAATTGGAATCATCAGGAAGTAATGATTCAAAATTCAAGTTTTCAAAAGGTTTTAATTCAAACTTCAAATTCTCAAGAGATGAGGAAAGCAGATGTATCACTGATACTCAATTTTTCCAAGCTAAACTGGGTCAAGATGACCCATTCAAGCTCAAAACGTGCATCGGTATTTAGAGGCGCTTATGGGCAGAAAGTGCATTGATATTTGGACAAAGAATCACTTGTGTCTTTGAGTGCAAGCGTCCTCGCTTATAAGACTCTCCCGCTGCCCCGTCGTCCTGACCGGACACATCATCTCACCACACAAAGGCTTACACTCAGGGAAATAAGCGAGACTTTGTGCAAATAGCGATGCATTTTTTACCCTTATTATTTATACATAAGGCCCGTATTATACATAATGGGTTGCAATTTTTTGTCATTAGATCGTAACCCATTTATACCCGACATAAGCGTCAATTAGAGCCACGTCCGGTCTCTACACGAGCTAAAGGTAAGGAAGTGTGTCACTATTTGAACAATGTGACCCATTTATTTCTCCGAGTGCACATCCTTCAGGAAATAAGACGCGATACTCAACGAAATGCTGTAAAAAAAAGTCGATTTTAGAGGACCGCGATGTTCATTTGTGAAGCAAAGTCCTTCGACCGAAATATCCTCAACAAAATGGACCGCAAAAATTGGCTTCGTGTACACGAGTGGAGGCAAGATTTGCAAGATTTACGCTGGTGATCGAAAACTAATCAGAATATATAAATATCAGCTGCAAAAATCGCGTGATTTTAAAATTCTTTTACATTAGATTCACATTCTACATTAGATTTACATTTTACATTAGATTTACACTTTACATTAGATTTACACTTTACATTAGATTTACATTTTTACAAAACTAATCTAAATGTTTGAAGTTGAGCTGCAAAAATTACGTGACTTTAAAATTGAATAATGGAGAAATGATTTTTAAATATTTATAATTTTGCATAATATTTTTTGAATTAGCCCAAGGAAAGAAGAAGGGATTGTTTCTCGAGTTACATATAATTGCAAAGGCTTTCTTCGAACCGGGATATCTTAACTAAAGCATGAAAAATGAACCGTTATAACCTCAGTGAAATAAAAATGATGACTCAGAAGAAAAGAAAACCGAAGCCGTAAAAAATCTTTACGTGTCGGCTAACACTAGACTCTAAAAAATTTGCATCTTGTCCAAAAATAAAAAAATCGCCGTCACGACAGGAGATGCACAAAGGATCCTCCAGGCAAACATCGTTGAAACAACGTTTAATCAACCTTTTTTGTTCAACGTTAAATTATTCAACGAGTTAATTTCACTGAAACAACGTTTACCTAATCAACGTTTTTTACGCAACGTTAAATCTTGAAACAATTCTGATTAGAAGTTGATTTCGTTTCAACGACGTTTAATCATCGTTACTTAATTCAACTTAAATCTTGAAACAACGTCTAATCAACGTAATTTTAACGTCAGACTCTTGATGGTAAAAGACTTCATCTAACCTGTGTCGTTGCAGACCACTTAGTCATATAGTCCCTCAAGTTAGTCTGTTATGAAACTAGGCAAAAGTCATAACTTGTTGATGGTTGTTCAATATTATAAGTAAAATGGAGGGACATTTCACTATTATAACCTGGCAGTCTGGGACTAGGGCCCCAAAAATCGTTTGATAATATGTTCAAAAACTGCAACTGGAAAGCCTTGTTTCGAACAATTCTTAGTAATCAATGTATTCATTTGTTCTTGTATATTACTCGCACTTCATTCATAAATAATAGCATGGGATAAAATTATCTTCAAATCATCAAAACCTATTAATAGGTTCCGAAGCTTTAAGCGGATTTTTTTAAGCGGATTAATGAGAATAAAAAAGTATCGCGGCTGAACTGAATTTTTAGACACCAGATAATTTGTCGCGTGTCGGTGTAGGCTATTAACTGTGAATCAATAAAAAAATTATAGTGCGAACATTACGGCACGAAAAATTATAATTGGATCCTTTCCTTTTATTGTACACTTGAAATAGCCCATAATACATAGTACCATTTTTCTAAACGTTTTTATATTTTTTTAGTCGGCTTTGATTCCTGCTGAATAAACTGATAAACAAGAAACTAAATAAAACATTTAAATTGTTAGTTACGTCATAATGGTTAGAACCAACCAACCCAAGTGAATGTGAATGACGAATCAACAGACGAAAAAATGTGTAAATTAATAATTACGTCTTAATGATTGGAACAAACCTGAGGCCGAACCCAAGTGAACGTGAAAGGCGAAATAACACATTAAATAAAATATTTAAATCCATAATTACGTCAACGAACCTGAGGCCGAACCCAAGTGAATGTGAATAGCGGAACCACAGACTACATAAAATATTTAAATTAATAATAACGTCATAATGGTTAAAACCAACCGGCGGCCGAACCCAAGTGAAGGTGAATGGCGAAATAACACATTAATAATATAGTTAAATTAATAATTACGTCAACGAACCTGAGGCCGAAGCCAAGAGAATGTGAATGGCGGGACAACAGACTAAAAAAATATTTGCTTTAATAATAACGTCATAATAGTTGGAACAAACCTGAGGCCGAACCCAAGTGAATGTGAATGACGAAACAGATGACTAAATAAAATATGCAAATTAATAATAACGTCAAGAAACCAGAGGCGAAACCTAAGCGGAGGTGAATGACGAACCAACAGACTAAATAAAATATTAAAATTATTAATAACGTCCTAATATTTAGAACAAACCTGCAGCCGAACGCAAGTGAACGTGAATGGAGAAATAACACATTAAATAAAATATTTAAATCAATAATTACGTCAACAAACCTGAGGCCGAAGCCAAGTGAATGTGAATGGTGGGGCTTGATGGTAGAAGACCGAGGTTTGGACGGCAGCGAAGTCAGGATCTTCGTAGAGCTCGCGCTTCCCCTGACACTGCCGCTTGATGCGCTCCCACTCACTCATCCTGAGCACGAAATTCTGGAATAAATGCAAAAAATTATTGAATTTATTCATGGAATTCAGAAATAACTGGAAAAAATTATTGAATTTTTTCATGGAATTCGGAAATAAATGGAACAAATTATGGAATTTATTCATATTCAGTTGTACAATTGATTTCAGGTTTAATTGCATACATGGATCAAGATAACAAGGTTTGCGCAAGTAAAAAACCTGCAAATATTGTAAATAAATATTGTAGTAAATTTATACATCTTGTCTGCATTAATCTAAATCGAGTGTTTCATTACTAAATTGATACAAAATTATGATAGATTTTGTTGGCCAAACTCTCGTGGAAATAATAGCGCGAGAATAAAAATTTGATTACTTGAATTACGACGAATAAAACCTGTACGTGTTGCTCTTTTTATTAGTTATATATTATGTATAATATCTATATATAAACAAATATAAATTAGCAAGCCAAAAAGCTGTACACGTGGAAATGACATCACTGATTATGACTTTCTTGCTAGCCGTCAGCATGATTAGCGTGACCGCAGCATGATACTATCATGGCGAGAAGTAGGGATAATCAAGTTATACATAGATATGCAAGCATGTCAAGCAAAAATGGAGAACATTTTTGTCCGAAAACATTGCACATAATTAACATTTATATTGTACACTTACGGGAGAATTAACAATCTAATTTTGATTGATGTTCTAGCAACTTTGTTTCAAAATACGTTGGAATAGAAAATTTATTTCGAGTTAATTATGCAAAATTCAGAATATTTTTATTATGAATAAAGTATTTCGAATTATGGGTGAAATACTCTCTACACGGTAAGCTCACTGCACGACATGCTCACTGCACGGCATGCTCACTGCACGGCATGCTCACTGCACGGCATGCTCACTGCACGACATGCTCACTGCACGACATGCTCACTGCACGACATGCTCACTGCACGACATGCTCACTGCACGACATGCTCACTGCACGACATGGTCACTGCACGACATGGTCATCCCCACTCAAAGAAACAAGTGAGGTGTTGTCCAATTATCGATGCATTTTATTACCTGGTGAGATTTATCCTGACCTAATTTAGTCCGTTCAAAAGGGCGCACCAGTGCTGGGCACAGAAAGTGTGTCACTATATGGACAACATGACGCATTTATTCCCCTGTGTGCTCATACAGAGAACACAATAGGACATTATGCCTCCGCCCTCCCCATTAATAACAAAAGAAATACGTGGGCGAATGTCACAGCCAACGAACTAGGAAATGTTGCAGTGACGCCCTGTCTTGACGGGCGCGAGATACGGGCACGAGATACGGGCGCGAGATACGGGCACGAGATACGGGCGCGAGATACGGGCTCGAGATACGGGCGCGAGATACGGGCGCGAGATACGGGCGCGAGATACGGGCGCGAGATACGGGCACGAGATACGGGCTGTCTCTTATACACATCTAGATGTGTATAAGAGACAGGTTATAACCTCAGTGAAATAAAAATGATGACTCAGAAGAAAAGAAAACCGAAGCCGTAAAAAATCTTTACGTGTCGGCTAACACTAGACTCTAAAAAATTTGCATCTTGTCCAAAAATAAAAAAATCGCCGTCACGACAGGAGATGCACAAAGGATCCTCCAGGCAAACATCGTTGAAACAACGTTTAATCAACCTTTTTTGTTCAACGTTAAATTATTCAACGAGTTAATTTCACTGAAACAACGTTTACCTAATCAACGTTTTTTACGCAACGTTAAATCTTGAAACAATTCTGATTAGAAGTTGATGTCGTTTAAATGACGTTAAATCACCGTTTTTAATTCAACTTTGAATCATGAAACAACGTTGACACAAGTTGATTTCGTTGAAACAACGTCTAATCAACGTAATTTTAACGTCAGACTCTTGGTGGTAAAAGACTTCGTCTGACGTGTGTCGTTGCAGACCACTTAGTCATATAGTCCCTCAAGTTAGTCTGTTATGAAACTAGGCAAAAGTCATAACTTGTTGATGGTTGTTCAATATTATAAGTAAAATGGAGGGACATTTCACTATTATAACCTGGCAGTCTGGGACTAGGGCCCCAAAAATCGTTTGATAATATGTTCAAAAACTGCAACTGGAAAGCCTTGCTTCGAACAATTCTTAGTAATCAATGTATTCATTTGTTCTTGTATATTACTCGCACTTCATTCATAAATAATAGCATGGGATAAAATTATCTTCAAATCATCAAAACCTATTAATAGGTTCCGAAGCTTTAAGCGGATTTTTTTAAGCGGATTAATGAGAATAAAAAAGTATCGCGGCTGAACTGAATTTTTAGACACCAGATAATTTGTCGCGTGTCGGTGTAGGCTATTAACCTGTCTCTTATACACATCTAGATGTGTATAAGAGACAGATTGTGGCCTATGCGTTGTATGTTCGTTTGCAGTATATGATACATAAGGTTATGTTATACACATGAGTTACCATGACTACGTCATCATGAATTGTGGACAGTAATAAAATTTCATAAAATTGAGAGACAACAAATTTTTATTTTGCTATAAATTAACTTATTTAAATTCATATTATACTATAAATTAAATTATTTTAATATCAGATTATACAGATTACATTTAATTAACATTTTCATNGACATGAGCAGTGACTCACTGCACGACATGAGCAGTGACTCACTGCACGACATGAGCAGTGACTCACTGCACGACATGAGCCGTGACAGAGCCGCTTTGTCACGGCGCTCAATAAACGAACTTCATCACTCAGAGTAATAAGCGAAGCTTTGTCCCAACAGCGAAATACTTTTTGCTCTAGTGTGCGTCATCCTGAACCAGTTTTACCAGGCAAAGAAAGGCTTATAAAATAAAGGGCGCATCAGAAAGTGAGTCAATACTTGGACAATATATCCCATTAATTTTCCTGGGTGTACTTGTCTAGAACAATTCATCTGGAGACGTTATGAGGAAATGGGACGCCTGATCTATGGCTTGGCACGCGAGCTGCCAAGGCGATGTCTATCAGGAGCCGGGGAACTGACAAGGCGCCAACGACAAGGCTAGCCGTGGAGCTGGCAAGGAGCCAACTACAAAGAGCCGGGGAGCTGACAAGGCGCCAACTACAAGCTGACAATGCGCCAACTACAAGGAGCTGACAAGGCGCCAAATAAAAGGCGCCGTGGAGCTGACAAGGCGCCAACTACAAGGAGCCGGGGAGCTGACAAGGCGCCAACTACAAGGAGCACAGGAGCTGACAAGGCGCCAAATAGAAGGCACCGTGGAGCTTACAAGGCGCCAACTACAAGGAGCCGTGGAGCTGACAAGGAGCCAACTACAAGGAACCGTGGAGCTGACAAGGCGCCACTGCAAGAAGCCGTGGAACTGACAAGGCGTCAACCACAAGGAGCCGTGGAGCTGACAAGGCGCCACTGCAAGAAGCCGTGGAGCTGACAAGGCGTCAACCACAAGGAGCCGTGGAGCTGACAAGGAGCCAACTACAAGGAGCCGGGGAGCTGACAAGGCGCCAACCACAAGGAGCCGGGGAGCTGACAAGGCGCCAACTACAAGGAGCCGGGGAGCTGACAAGACGTCAACCACAAGGAGCCGTGGAGCTGACAAGGCGCTGACTACAAGGAGCCGGGGAGCTGACAAGGCGCCAACCACAAGGAGCCGTTGAGCTGACAAGGCGCTGACTACAAGGAGCCGGGGAGCTGACAAGGCGCCAACCACAAGGAGCCGTGGAGCTGACAAGGCGCTGACTACAAGGAGCCGGGGAGCTGACAAGGCGCCAACTACAAGGAGCCGGGGAGCTGACAAGGCGCCTGAAGCTGACAAGGAGCCGGGAAGCTGACAAGGCGCCAGCTACAAGGAGCCAGAGAGCTGACAAGGTGTCGCGAACTGACAAGGCGCCGGGTAGCTGACAAGTCGCCAACTGCAAGGAACCAAGGAGCTGACAAGGCCCCGTGGAGCTGATAAGTCGCCAACTGTAAGGAACCAAGGAGCTGACAAGGCCCCGTGGAGCTGACAAGTCGCCAACTGCAAGGAACCATGGAGCTGACAAGGCCCCGGGGAGCTGACAAGTCGCCAACTGCAAGGAACCAAGGAGCTGACAAGGCCCCGGGGAGCTGACAAGTCGCCATCTGCAAGGAACCAAGGAGCTGACAAGGCCCCGGGGAGCTGACAAGGCGCCAACCACAAGGCGCCGTGTAGCTAACAAGGCGTCAACTACAAGGCNCAAGGCGCTGACTAAAGGAGCCGTGGAGCTGACAAGGCGCTGACTAAAGGAGCCGTGGAGCTGAAAAGGCGCTACTGCAAGGAGCCGTGGAGCTGACAAGGCGCCACCGCATGGAGCCGTGGAGCTGACAAGGCGCTGACTAAAGGAGCCGTGGAGCTGACAAGGCGCTGACTAAAGGAGCCGTGGAGCTGACAAGGCGCTACTGCAAGGAGCCGTGGAGCTGACAAGGCGCTGACTAAAGGAGCCGGGGAGCTGACAAGGCTCAACTGAGAGGAGCCAGAAAGGCGTTCCTATAATAAGTTTCCTGTCGTAAAGCTGACAAGGCGCTGACTACAAGGAGCCGTGGAGCTGACAAGGCGTCAACTGTGAGGAGCCAGAAAGGCGTTCCTATAATAAGTTTCTCGTGGTGTAAGGTAAACATCGCCCAAATATCCTTCCATGTACAGTTTCCGTCTATAACAGGAACTGTGATGACACGTAGGGCTACGAAAGAAATATTATAGCGTGGTCGTAGCGATCACATTAATATTTAAGGAGAGAAAGTTACCCTAAACAACTTAATAAGGAATGACGATAATTTAATGGGTGAGAAGTCATTTCGTAGGGCGTGTAGTTTGGTAAACGCCCATGCTCGACTACGTATATATATTTACGTCGTTATACGCAAAAAATTCAACACACTTGTACGTTCAAAGATTTGACACACTTATACGTTCAAATACTTGACACACTTATATGTTCAAAAATTTGACACGCTTATACTTTCAAA